TTATTTATATTTTTTCCTGTTTTTTCCAAAAAAAAGTTAACGTGTAGGTGTAATTTCTGGTGAGACTTTCCGAAGGTTCTTGCGGTGTGGTAGGCAACTTGAAAGAAAAGAGTGTACTCTGGATAGAGCATTTGGTATTGCCATAAAAAACGAAGACCCTTTTTTTGGAGCAGCTGCTGTGGAGAAAAGAGAGCAGTCACTTAATATAGAAAAATAAAGCAAGGGTGTCCAAGGGTCATTTAGTCCAATGTCCTTCCTCAAGAAACAAGCCTCTCCTGTGGACAGGATGTGATTTGGTACAGGGAAACACATTTGGATTTCTAATCCAGTCTTGTTATCACTCAGCCATTGCACTAACCAAAAATGAAGTCTACAAGCAGAGGGAAAAAGCCATGTGTGCTATGAAGGTACGTGTTAGGGTGGGGCACGGATAACCAGCTTGACTGGATCCTCTGCTGTGGCCGAGCTCTGCAGGATGTTGTATTTGAAGGTCAGGACCTAACTATCTCTTTCCGGCAGTGTTACATGTGAGGTGGTAGGTAGGGCAGAAATGATGGTCTCTGGCTAGGTCAATGAATGTAGAATCACTTTCTGGCTTAGCTACAGACTTCCTTGTGACCTTGAGTACATCACCTAACTTAGCCAGTGTCACTTCCTCATGCATACCTGTATCAACATCCATGTCTTCTGATATGGGAGATCTTTGTTCATTCTGGCTAGCGCCTGCAGGCAGCATTTCCAACTGTTCCATGGAAAGAGTAAAAAAAAAAAAGAGTTAAGAAGGACTCTGTTTGATCTGTGCTCCTCAGGATTACAACGCCACAGAATGAGGGACAGGCAGTGGTGGTGGGCTGTCCTCCCAGCCACGGCTCCTGGTGGTGCCATGAATTGCCAGGTGAAGCCCGAGTCCGTGGGTGGAACGAGGGCCTCTTGTGTCCTACCTTCTGAAGTCAAGTGTGGAGCAGTCTTGCATACAGGAGCCTCAGCTCAGCCCCTCCCCTGCCTCCTCTGCTTTCCCAAAATCCCAGCTAACGAGGGTCCTCCAACTGAAGGCCCACTGCAGGCTCTCTACAAGATGGTCTACCACCTCTATAAGAGCATTCAGCATTCATAGTAGATGGGCTTTCAATGCCACATGATCATCTTAACAAAAGATCCAGTTAGAAGCAAGATGGCATTCACAAAACAGGATTGCCTCAGCCTTATTCTTTCTACTTACCTCCCCTGGTCTTATAACTGGTTGTCCCGTGCTACCCAGAGAAAAATAACTGTCGTCATTTCTCTGTGCCTCAGATATTGAACTTGTATTTTCAGGACTGGGGATTGTTTCTTCAGAACTCCAGGTCTTAATAACTGGTTGTCCCGTGCTACCCAGAGAAAAATAACTGTCGTCATTTCTCTGTGCCTCAGATATTGAACTTGTATTTTCAGGACTGGGGATTGTTTCTTCAGAACTCCAGGTCTTAAGCTCTTCACTAACGGACACTTGGGAAAGGACCATGTCGGCAATTCTGCCTGGGTTCATTGCACTTTTGCTTGGTGTTGCTGGATTGTCACCACCAGCCTGTAAAAAAGGGCAATCAGAGAGTTCCTCAATTATTACTGTAACCATTTCTTGAGGAAAAAATAAATCGAAACCTGTTATGTCATCATAAAGTTCTTGCTCAGATCCAGATTTTTGTAACATATTCCTGGAAACAGAAAGAACAACTTCATTAATTGCATCTTCATGCTCTGGAGGTAAATGTTGTTCATTTGTAGCTGCCACAAGGCCGATTTTATGTTTGGACAGGCCTTGTTCCATGGCCTCTTTAAAGTCCTCAACAATTCCATTCACTTTGGATCGTGATAAATGTCTTCTGGAATTTGGGCTTGTGCCGTCAGTTGAACTTAAGACTTTTGCAAGGAATCGACTTAATATTTCTTCCACAAATGTCACGGGTATCACAAGAATAGGTGGGTTTATAGGTGGCTTTGGCATTTTCTCTATCGTGCCAAAATCAGCAGGGAATTTCTCAACAATCCTAACAGCTTCTGTTGTTGAAGTTGAAACAGGCAATGTCTCCCCCTCTGAACTGCCTTGAAATTCAGGTTTGGCAACATCTTTTGCTATGGAAGCCGCTATCCTATTAGCTAAAATATCTGTCTTATCTGTTAAGTTTCCGCAAACAAAAATGTCAGAGTCAGAATGGTCTCCAGTGCTTGTGCAAGCCAAATGGAATATGTCTCCCATAGCCGGCCTGTCTTCAGTGCCTAAAAATTCTCTTTCATTGATATGTTTGTTCATGTTCATCTGGTGTTGTGACAGGACTGCTTCCAAAGCATGCAGTATTTTTCTAGTTGCTCCATTCAGTAACAAAATCTTTTCTGTGTCCAAATCGGCAACGGGAAAGAGGGAAGAAAGTGTTGACATAAGGTTTGCTTCTAGTTTTTCTATGATGAGAGGAGCTATCTTACTAAGATATGATGATAAACTGTTTGGGTGATGCAAAGGCTCAGTAACATTTCTTAGAGTAACTTTTTCAGCAATCTCGTCAGCTTCGGCACAGTGGTGAAGCAGTAATTTTTCAGAAAGAGAGTTCTGCAGTGGATGTCCAGAAACCTCTTGGACGACCAAGTCACAAAGAGCTTCAGAAATAACCATGCACCCATTTCTTAGACAGTTCTGCATAGTGAATCTAGACTGAAACTGTGTCAAAAGCTTATTGTAGACTGAATCAGCAATTGTTTGAATCATGTCCTCCACCCTGGAGTGCGGCTGTTCAGTATGCTGGCTAGAAGAGTTCTCATCTTCAGAGATTTTTGCCTTAACTTTACTGATTATCTTCATGTGAATTAAGTCAAATTCTTCAAAATCCATTTTATTTTCTGGAGAGGAAGATGTGCTGGCGGCGGCAGGGAGACTGTTAGATAAAAGCCCGCTGATTAGATCTTCCAAAACTCTGTGGCATACCCCCAGAATAGATGGTGTGGGACTGTGGCCTCGGGCGTTACTTTTGGTAGGAGCCTCTAAAAGCTTTTCAGCATCAATTTCTCCAGGTTCTTGGGGGTTATACGGAACTGAAGAGGGTGCCTTTGCTTTTTCCTGTTGGTAACCATTAATTTTTCTCCTTATCAAACCACCAAAGCTCTCTGCTGGCTCACCAAAGCTCTCAGCTGGCACACTGTTGTTGTCTTGCATGTCCGCATAAACTGAGACTTTGGAAGTTCTTTCTTGCTTAAGGTCAGATAAACTGGTATGAATAATTTTGGCCGTCAATGTGTCTATGTCAGGGGAGAGACCCTGGTCTTCAGAAGGCTGCAGGTTTGTGGCCTGACACATGGAAAGCTTATTTAGTATTGAATCAGCTCCAGCTGTGATGATACATGAGGGATTGCTTCCAGGGATTGGAATGTCCTGAATATGTGGGTTTTGTGATAGGACTGATTTGCTTATTATTTCATCATATATCTCTCTAAAAAAAGCATCAGCATAAATCGTGGTTGGTGACTGCAGTGTTTCAGGCTCAATTGTGCAGGTTGCCAGTGGCTTGCTACAAGCTCCCTGCATTGCTACTTCCTCTTTGGGAAATACCTTTCTGAGTGATGGAAAAAAAGGCTTTCTTGCAAGGTGCCTTCTTGTTGGAGACTGGCTAGGTGCCTGTTGAGAAAACAGTGGGGTTATTTTCCTTCTCCTCCCTCTCCTCATACATCCTGGTGATCTGCTGGGTGTTCTGTTTCTGTCTGTGAAGACAAAGTTTTTGGCATTGCCCTCATCATCTCCCCTGTCTCTCTCAGCGATTTTTCTTCCTTCATATTGAATTATTGCTGGATATATTATGTCTGTGACCTCAGACACAAACCACGTCATTATATTTGTAATTTCGTTGGTCATGTCTTTGGTCTTGTTTTTCTGTAGCAGGAACAAATGAGAAGGGACAATAAATGTGTTAATTCATTCCTCCGTTCTCCCTTCTGTACATGGCAACAGCTGTCTGATGGGTGAGATTCAAACTTTTAGGATAAACAATAACAGCCCCCCATGAAAAGTGGCATGTATCACCAGAGCCTGTTGGATAGGGTGGGATATAAAACTTACGGAATAAATATAGGAAATAAAGTCAGAGCGAGCTGCAGGGGAATATGGGGATCAAAGCTCCCTGCCCATCACAAGGGGACAACTCAGGTATTTTGTCCTGAGCCCAAACATTCCTGGAGGCCTGAAATGGCTGAGATTTGGCAGAGCTTATAACTAGCTTTTACACCAAAGTTACTTGCTAGGGCCCTGTGACCTGGGCCTAAATTACAGACTGTGACCGAGAAGGGCCACAACCCTGAACTCATTAACTGTGAGGAAGTATTTGGGACCAGACAGAGAGAGGAGCCCAACTGCACCACTTGGCCCAAACCTGAGAGTTTCTGGGGGTCGCACCTGTGGGGTGGGAGGGATACACAGATAAGAGAGGTGGCCCTGGGACCAGAAATAGGAAGCAGATTCTCCCTTACCTGTAGGAGCTTCAGCCAGAGAGACCTGTCACCATGAAGGTGTGTTCAGGTCTGAGCCTCTGGCCTGGGGATCTGGAATGTATCCTGCAGGCTGATATCAGCCCTCTATGAGGTCACTGTCTCT